ACACAAGATAAATAAACCCTTTATTTACTAATATCTCCAATTCATTTAATCCCTCCTCATAATTATAAATTTATAAAATTGCCATATTTTTTTTTTTAAAAGAAAAGAAAGTCTTACCTGGCATTCCAATTTCCAACTGGAAACGACGTGTCCACTACCAAAACCACATGAATGAAGCTACCACTGCATCTCTCAACACGTGTCATTCAAGCAATCTGCTGCTGTCATCCAAAAGAAACCCTGAATCTAGGCCCACATATATCCATTAAATTTCTTACGTGTCTGCCAGCTCATGCCCAACTTAGCTACTTCAATTACCCAAAATACCCACGCCATATCCTAAAGTTGCAAGCTTAATCCCCAGCCCCTTCAACTTGTTGTCTTTTAAAGTTTTAGCCCCCCACATGCAACGTATCATCTTTTTTACCTATTAAGTCTTCTAGTTTAGGAAAATAACACCAAATTTTAGTGTAGAAGAATCATATGATCCATGTGACTGTTACACCGTTGTTAATCCAAATCCAATCAATACTAGTTCAACAAAAAATTGACAAGTTATACATCTTACGTGACTATCCTTATTCTTATTATAATCATATATAAATAAAATCCGTGTCATATATGTATATTAGAAATTCACGACTTAATTAATTAAGTAAAGGGGTTCCAAGAGTGTGGGTTCACTCTGTGATCGGTCGATTTTGATCTAATCTTTCTAGTGACGTCTCGTTTAAGGATTAATTTGCAGATATTGTATGGTGGGAGGCTAACACCTAAAAGACAACAAGTTGGAGGGGCTGTGGGTTAAGCCATAGTTGCACCTAAACCAGGGCTACTTCAGTAATTTGGTTCCCACCATTTGAACCACACGTGCGACTTCCCCGCGTGGTCGGCGTCAAAAGACGGCTTCCCCTTGGAAAAATTCTGCCGGACTGCTCTCCCTCCCCTCTTTAAATACCGTTAAATACTTACGATTTCGGAATTAGGGTTTTCAAGTTTCCTCAATATTTTCTCCCTTCCCCTTATTTATTCTTGGTAAAACTCCTAATTCCTCGATTGTTGGGGGAGAATCAGATTTGATTTCCGATTTTGTGGATTCGTTGATGGTGCAGTTGATGAGTTCCGGGAATCAAAGGCCAGATCGCGATGTCTCTTCCTGCCGGGACAAGCTCCCGGTGAAGCTAGAGATCGTCGAGGATCCCTTGGAAGAAGAATTTGGTCCACTGAACAAACGATCCAAAGCCGCTACTGATCTTCATCAGGTTTGTGCATTCGAGATTGAATTTCTTTTCCTGCTTTTTTGTTAAAGAAAATGAATCATTAAAAAAAAAAAAAATTTGTCAGTGTCTATGCGACAAAGTCAAATTTTCTTTTCTCGTTTTCTGGCTCGCGAAACGGTGATTGGATTATTATCTCTGCTAATTTTCTCTCCATTGGCATTTAGTCTGGAAACGTTTGTTTAAATATAATATTCAATGTTGATTTTGCAGTGGGGTTTTGATGGAAATGCGTTTGCAATCCCGCCATCGCAATACAACCCACTGGAGGAGCCTAGTCCTCTGGGTTTGCGGCTTAGGAAGAGTCCATCACTTTTGGAATTGATCCAGATGCGCCTATCCCAATCTCAAGGCAGTGCATCCTGTGAGCAAAATGAAAATTTCAGCTACGGACAGACGGAGACGAAATCCGCTGCCGCCACTGACAAGCTAAAAGCCTCCAATTTCCCTGCTTCCATTCTCAAAATAGGCAGCTGGGAGGTATCTTTAATAAATACACTTATTCCTTTTAGTTATTTGGAACTTTGAGGATGTGGATTTAATTATTTGGGAATTGCAGTACAAGTCAAGGTATGAGGGTGATCTGGTCGCCAAGTGTTACTTTGCAAAGCATAAGCTCGTGTGGGAGGTTCTTGAAAATGGGCTCAAGAGTAAGATAGAGATACAGTGGTCTGATATCGTGGCCATAAAGGCCTCCTGCCCTGATAATGGACCTGGGACACTGAACATCGTGGTAATTTATTTGGCTTGTTATACTCTTTATGCATCTTTTCCTAATTACTTAGTGAATCCTTGTGACGGGTCGCAGCCTGTTGTTTGATGCAGCTTGCTCGACAGCCTCTCTTCTTCAAGGAGACTAATCCACAGCCCAGAAAGCACACCTTATGGCAGGCAGCAGCTGATTTTACAGATGGCCAAGCTAGCATACACAGGTGTGACTACCGTTCTTCCTTTGCTTCCATTAAGTACTTACTTTCTTTTCCTATAAAAGCAAGGTGTTATCATATTACATTAAATATATTTATCAACAAACCGAAAGAGCCCTACTTGATTGATAATGTTCATAAATTGTTTTAAGTTCCTCTGAAATGCAATGTTCTTTATGGTCTGGCTGAATTTTTAGTTTTGAGGCTGTGATACTGATGAAAAGATTGACTTTGGTTTTACAGGAAACATTTTCTGCAGTGCCCTCAAGGAATGTTAAATAAACATTTTGAAAAACTCATCCAATGTGACATGCGTTTGAATTTTTTGAGTCAACAGCCAGAGATAACATTGGATTCACTATACTTCGAGAAAAGAAAAGCTGTTTTTGAGGATCCTGGTGAATCCAAAGGTGAAGATTTTGGCGAGGTGAATACTGGATTTCAGAAAATAGCATCATCAGCTCCAGTTCAGTCATCTTCTTTAGAGATTGAAAATGGTGATTCTACTGGTGTAACATCAGAACCTGTGTCTCTGGAAGCTCCTTCTTCTAGCTCAGGTAAAAAATGAATTTTGGCATTGTTTTGTTAATGCTGATAGATAAAGTTTCAGGGTTATCTTCACCTTAAGCTGCTATTTTTGCTTTGCTTTGCCTTTATATATCTATATATATAAAAGATAAAGTTTCAGGGTTCCTCACTTTTTCCTCATCTTTTTCTTTGATTGTTTATTTATCAATTTTGTGTTGTTCAATAACAGACATTGCCAAGGCAAAGAAGAAAAACAAAAAATAAGACATTGCATTTATTGATATTTGGGAATACGCTTTTGAATTAGTTAACCATGACGTTATAGATTTCTCATTGGTGGTTTGTGATGTCATTGGTGGATCATTTGGAATTTTATATCAAACAAAGTAAAAGTACATTGAATTTCTGCATATTACTATTGTATTTTATATGTGCATAAAATTGAATTAAGTTGGCATGGTGCATGCTGCTAATTAATCACGTGTGTGCAGGATTTAGAATGTGTATTAAATAATGAGATCAGTGATAATATGAATTGGTAGTTCGGGAAAAATTTCAAGGATGCATCTGAGGGGTTTTGAAAGAAACAAAATCTCAATAAAAAGTACCCAAGCATTTGCAACTAGTTGTATACTTTTGTACATTCATGTGCTATTGGGTAACATTTTGTGTTGTTTGAAATTAGTAATTTGATAATAGCTTCTAGCCAAAAGTGAAAAATTAGAGGCACCATGCATCAGTAATCTTCATTTCTTCTTTAATCTTTAAATCTGGGATCATGTTCATGTTTTATTCCTCTAGTGCAAAGATTTGTTTCTCCATGTAAAAGGATAGTTAGCATGCATAAGCTATAAAAGCTATTACCCTGTGCTTGCATATTGCACTTTGCTTCTTGATTCTTTGCTGATTATGTGCCCTCTCATTTAGTGATAGGCACTAGTGCTATTGAAGTGAATGGAATTTGTGACGCTGTGGATTCTAAGGGACCAAAGAATTTGGACCAGAGAATAATGCCAGGACTTCACCCATCAATGTCCATGAACGATTTTATGAACTGCATTGAACAACAGATCTCTGGAAATCCATCATCTGAAAATAGATCAGAACTGCAGGAAATGCTTGAGGAGATTGCTCGGAACCTTCTAAGTGACACTCAATTTACAGCAGCTTCTGATGAGAAATCACTCATGTCAAGGGTCAATTCTCTTTGTTGCCTTCTTCAAAAGGATAGTGCCACAGGTACGAACTTCCAGGTTGTTGGAGAGGATTGCGCTGGTGATGGAACAGTTGCTCAGCTACACAGCACTTCTGAATCAGTGCTTGCTAACAATAGTAAGGTTGATATCAAGCCTTTCGAAGGGGATACAAAGGATGTCTCTGGTAGCAAGCCAATAGCTGGAATGTCAAGGAAAGACTCATTGGGAGATTTCCTGATTCATCTCCCTCGAATTGCCTCTCTCCCAAAGTTCTTCTTCAACATTTCAGAAGAAGACGGTCAAAGTCAAGCTCAATAGTTTTCTAGTTCATCAATTGATTAGGTGACAACCTAGTTCCTCAAACCTCCATCACCCAACTGGAAAGCTTGCTAGTTGTTAAGTATATATCCAATGTATGTGGAGTTGTGCTTTATTTTGGTTAAACCTGGGATGTACAGGGATTCTGAAATTTCTTTTGATGATGAATCCTAGCACGTCCCATGTAAAAATTTCAGTAGGTATTAGGTGCTGTGGCAAAAATTTGTTTAAAGCTGAATGCCTCTTGCAGACAGCTATTTTTCAAATTTGAAATCGTCAAGGTAAATTTGGGTTGGGGTATTTGTTGACGAGAGTTATGAGTTTCGGTGAAAGACTGATTATTGGAATTTGAATAAAAATATTGTTGACAATAACCTTCCATATTTGTTCTGGCAGTCTATGACTACTTAACAGACCATTTTCATTTTATCTCTGATTCAAATTTTCTTACCACTACTTAGTAGAGCAGCTGGATAGCTCCATATAGTGGTGGCACCAGACTCTGTTTCGAGCCCCACCTATCCTCTCCCCCAATTCTAAAAAACTAATTGCTCACTCTTCAAAGATAAACTGCATTTAATATTATTGTGTAGTGCTTGGTTTTTATGTTGTTATAAAAATTACTACATTGGTATTTGATAATATATTGGTGTTTTACAATTCATTCTGTACGGGTTACAAATACTTGGTTTTATAATTAGTGGAGTTTATTACTGACCTAGAATGGCCTTATTGATTATGGAGTTGATGTTTTGCAGTCTGAACATGATAGCCTACGAAACACCTTTTTGATTTTATAATTGTGGTTTCAAGGTGCTCTCCAATTAATTATGTCTAAACCATCCATTTGTTCTTGTAATCTATTCAAGCCTGCAAGGCACAGGATTTGCCAAGGAAAAATGAAATTTCTCAGGGATTCTAAACAATTCAACCGTTGTAAAAGCTTCAGACATTCCTAAACTCTAACCTGATATTTCTAAACAAAATCCTTGCGGGATTCAACTCTATTCAAACCTACAGAACAGAGGAAAAACAATAAAGGAGACAGAGTTATCGACATAAGATGCATGGAGGATCTCTTGACTCTTCTTCAGATGTTGCAAGCTGTAAGCAGATGCTGTGGAAGAAATGACCGCATGAAAGAACAGCAACCTCTGAAGGATTAACAAACTCGGACTCTGGGTCTGTTTCTGGATCAATTCCAAGATCACCGTTACATTTCAGACACCTCTGTCCCAGCAGCTGGCTAGTGACCTTATCAAAACCTGCAAACGTTGATAAACAATGCTATTATTATTTATCAGAAATCAGTAAAAATCTATTAGCCTTTGGCCCTTTGCCTTTAATATCTTTCAATATATCAATCAAGCCATGTCGGATTTCTATCCCGGGCAGATCAATTGGATGAAGAAATTATTATCAAATAAAATAGGAAAACTAAGAATAAGTTTTGATATGGACATACATACCATCCCATGTTATATGATGTTCCTGGGAAGGGCTGTCGGGAGATCGCCTTGTTTCCTCTCTCTGCACAGCCTTGCTGCCTCTCTTCTTCTTGGGATGTGTAGGAAGGTAGGACTGGACGCCTGTACTTACCCTTTTCCCCTTGGTTTGAGCCACAGTCAAATTTCTTCTAGTTCCACTCGTCTTGACTACAGGATTCCGTGCCACAGACAAATTCCTACTAGCTCCACTCATCTTGACTTCAGGAAGTTTAGCAGGCTCCCTTTCCTGCCTAGTTTGCCCAGAAGCTGGAATTCTATTAATCCCATTCTTCCTATTATCTTCTGGAGGTTGGTGGGGACATTCTTTTCTCAACTTTGTCTGCCTTGATACTGGAATTCTATTAGTTCCACTCTTCCTGGCCTCTGGATATTTAGAAGGTCCAGCACTTTCCTGTTTCTGCCTGGAAGCTAGAATCCTACTAGTTCCAATCTTCATGGCTTCAGGATTATCTTTAGAAGGTTCGGTACTTTCCATTTTCCCATTGTTCCGTCGTGAAGTTGAAACACCATCAGTTCTACTCTTCTTGGCTTCAGGATTACCTTTAAAAGGTTTAGGACTTCTCATTTTCCCCTTATTCTGTCCGGACACTGAAACACCATCAGTTCTACACTTCTTGACTTCAGGATCTCTAGAAGGTTCAGTAGTTTCCTTTTTCTGCCTATTTCTTAACCCGTAAGCTAGAATTCTATCCGTTCCACTCTTCTTGACTTCAGGGTCTTTAGAATTTTCAGTATTTTCCCGGTTCTGCTCATCCTGCCCTGAAGCTGAAACTTCATAAGTTACATTCTTACTGGCTTCAGGTTCTCTAGAAGTTTCAGTACTTTCCTTTTTCACCCTTATCTGCCTATAAGCCTGAATTCTATCACTTCCATTCTTCTTGACCTCAAGATCTTTAGAAATTGGGATACTCTCCTTTTGCCCCTCGTTCTGTCCAGAAGCCGGAACTCCATTAGTTCCACTCTTTCTCACCATGGTTGCAAACCCTTCGTAAAGTTGGGAGCTTTCTTTTTGCTTGCTTTGCCTAGAAGCAGTGCTTCTACCATTTCCATTCTTCTTGATCAACGACGTAGAATCATTAATCTGAATTCCAACTGATTTCCCTGAAATCATTCATAAAGGTTTGGTCTCAAAACATTATAACAATCTAAGATTTTCCATCTTGCTTTTTGCAGAGACCGCAAAATTACCTGATTGATTTATTTCTGAAGAATTTCCAGTTTGGGTGTCCATAACTTGATTAGTAGAATTAATTCCAAATAAAAAATAAAAAATTCTTTCTAGACCGACGGCCTGATCTCTCCTCGGCAAACCATCGAACAGGTCTTAATCATACAAAGGAACAAATAGAACAAAAGCAATGTCAGAAATTGAAAACCCTAGAAGACAAATTCAAGAAATCTTCAAGCATGATTCGAAACCCTAAGCGGAAAATTTCAAGTGAATCTCTGCGATTGAAGCCGGGAATTCAGAGAGAACAAGAGATTAATCGAAGATTACAACTTACGAGATTATCGTTGATCGGAGGATGACGGAGGAGGGGCTTAATCGCAGAGAGACTTAGGGAGCAAGTAATTCATGTCCGCCCTTTGGGGCTGCGCTTTTTATCAGGCGCCGTCTATATAAATGTTTTGGGGTTGGATCCTTCTTGCCACGCGTCCTATTCTTATTCTATTTTTTTAGTATATAAATGATTGATACGCGTTTTAAGTATTTGAATTTAGGTTAAATGTTAATTTTGATCCCTCAACTTTAGTGAGTTGCATATTTTTGGTTCCTTAATAATTTTTTACACTTTTTTGATCCCTCAACTCTAAGAAAGGCACACCGTTAGTCCTTTCATCAATTTGGGCCGTTAACTCCGCGCATGTGGCATTTTTTATATTTTTTTATGACGTGGCGAAAATAACTTAAAAAAGTGTTGATCTAGACATTTTTTTGATAACATGTCAATGCCAACTCATTAACCAAATTTGATTAACATTTATATTTTTAATAAAAAAATAAAAAACTACAAATTTACCTTAATACCCTTATCTCCCTTTCTTTCTTGATCCATCTTCTTCCCCTCTTTCAATCCATCTTCTTCCTTTCTTTTTTCTTTTCCTTTCTTACTCTTCTTTCTTTCTCTTCTTCCTCTGTGTTGTTGGGTTCCTTCAAACCCAGCTGATTTGGGTTCAAGGGAACCCAACTCAGGTTTGATGGAATGCATCTGCTGGGTTACTCGAACCCAGTTGCTGGGTTCTGTCGAACTTAGATCTGCTGGGTTTGGTGGAACTCATTTGCTGGGTTACATCAAACCCAGATCTGTTGGGTTTGGAAGAGAAAAGCTTAGCAATATTTGATCGACTTTGGCATTCCATACACAATTATCAGCTAGATTGATTCCAATGTTTGCTTTCTTTTGTGCATCTTGCATCCTTTTAGAATTGTTTAAAGAGCATGTCTGATTAGGTTCTTTAGATAGGTTTCTACCATGATTTTTCAAAAGGATAAAAAATGGAGACTAACTTGGGCAAAAGTAAAGGTAAACTACATTCTTTGATTTCTGTATTCTTTTCCCCCAAAATCATTTTTGTTTTCGGCAATATATGTTAAAATACTGATAAATTTGCTGTAGATTTTTCTTCATTGCAACCTTATTAACTGGTTTTTCAAAACTTTTGCATTATCATTTCTCAAGCATTTGGAGCCTACTAATATGTATTCTGTAAGACTATTACTTTTGCTTGTTTGCATTAGTCGTAACTCGTAAGTTGATTTCACATTTGCATGTATTTGTGTTTCCTTTTCAAATCCTTATTTTAGTATATGTGGATGAATATTGCATTACAGATCCATGTTTTCTTAGTTTTAATATTGATTCTTGATATTAAAGTCGCGACAAACCCAAAATAGACTTGGGTTAGCGACGAACCCAGAACATATGTGGGTTCGTCACGAACCCAGTCATGGCCAAGAAGGAGGATGAGTGGGAGGGGAGAAGAGAAACAGTGACAGAGAGAGGAAAAATGGTTGGAAACAGTGACAAATAATTTAAAATAACAATTAAATTTGAGTTGGGATGTACACCTAAGCTAATCGTATGATTTGTCATTGATATATCATTAAAAATGTGTCATTCTAGAATATTTAACTGCCAGCTGTGAGTTAATTGATGGAAGATCAAAATTGTGCAATTTTTAGAGTCGAGGGATCAAAAAAATGTAAAAAATTATTCAATGACCAAAAATGTAAAACTCACTAAAGTTGAGGGACCAAATTTAGCATTTAACCTAATAACCTTGAATTTATTAATTGAGATTTTCAATTCTACTATTAAAGTCTTAAAAAAATTGCTCCCCCAAAATTATATATTGTTAAAAAAAAA